TTACACTGCTCACCCAGGTAGAACTAAAATGTATAGAGATTTCCGTAATAGATTTCGGTGGAGTATGAAAGGGAAGATAGCTTTGTTTGTGTCCAAATGCATGGTTTGTCAACAGGTGAAGGCTAAACATCAAATGCCATCTAGTCCATTGGACCCCGTTGACGTACTCAAATGGAAATGGGAAAAGATTGCAATCGATCAGTGAGAGGTCATGATGCAATCTGGGTAATTGTAGATCAACGGACAAAATCTGCTCATTTCCTACTAGTTCGGACAACCTATAACTTAGAACAGCTTGCACAAATTTATGTCAGAGAGATTATGCGGCTTCATGGTGTTCCAGTTTCTATCATATTGCATAGAGACCTCGAGGTTTACTTCTTCAGCTCTAGTAAAGCCTTCAGAAGTCTATGGGTACCAAGTTAACGTTTAGTACTGCATACCATCCTCAGACTGATGGACAATTTGAACGAACTATACAAATTCTTGAAGATATGTTGAGAGCTTGTGTCCTAGATTTGGGTGGTAAGTAGGAAGATCATTTGCCATTAGTTGAATTTGCATACAACAATAGTTTTCAAGTCACTATTGACATGGCATCGTATGAGGCTTTGTATGGGTGACAATGTTGTTTGCCATTATACTGGGATGATGTTGGTGAAAGAAGAGTTTTGGGTCTAAAATTGGTCGAGAAGACTAGAGGCTATATATAAAATTAGATCAAGAATTAAGACTGCACAGGATCATAGAAACGCTATGTCGACAAAAGGAGAAAAGAGTTGACTTTCGAGGTTGGAAAGAAAGTATTTCTCAAAGTGGTGCCGATGAAGGGAACGCTGCAATTTGAAAAGAAAGGAAAATTGAGTCCTAGATTTATCGGTCTATTTGAAAATATTGAAAAATTTGGGAATATGGTATATCGTTTAGCATTACCACCAGAACTATCGGCAGTGCATAACGTAGTTCATGTTTCTATGTTGAGAAAGTATATCCCGGATGCTAGCCTTGTGGTAAATGTTCGATCACTAGATGTCTAGAGTGATATGACATATGAAGAAGCTCCTACAGTAGTTCTAGAGAGAAAGGAACATATTTTGAGAAATCGAAATGTTCCACTAGTCAAAGTTCAGAGGGATAAACATGGTGAGGATGAGGCAACTTGGGAAAGAAAAAAAAGTCCATGCTGATCCATTTAAAGGCATTAGCATTTTAAAATTCATAACCGTATTTCAAATGCATACTGTTCAAATGTTATCACTTGAGAAATTGATGTACGACAATTGTAGAATGAATGTTAATTCTAATTGTATCTACCTTTTGAAAATACAACTCCTATTTTAATTTATTGCCAACCGTCACCTCCATCTTGAAATTTAAAATAATAATCTCCTACAACCCTAAAGTCACTTTGAATTTGAACATTTTCTAAAGGAGAGGCTTACAGTATGTAACATTTTATTTTGGACACAAAAAGGGTATTCAAGCTCCAAGTATTTAAGGTAAGGTGTGTGCGGCACTTTTATAAGTAAAGTAAGAATTATTTCGTTTTTTATTTGCATTTGTGTTATTGTGTTACTTATGATGAAAAACCATTTTGGTAGTTCAAATAAGATATGAATAGATGATTTATGCTACTGGAAAGGGGTTATCAAAAACCCAAGAGTAAGCGGACTGATTGATCACCGATTCGCTTTGCAAATTAATGGTGACACAAATGACCAAAGTTTGCATTTATGAAAATATATATTTTTACCGTTTACTTCAGCATTTTCCTACTGAGTATTACTTGTGGTACTCATCCACATTAAAAATTTTCAGGTTAAATCAAGGCATGATAGTAGTTTGACACAGTGATAAGTGCTCAATGATTTGAAAAGTTTTCAGCTTTCTAGTAAACTTTCCAGTTTGTGTTAATCTATTACGAGTATTTAGATGACGCCTTTTGTCTAGTTTTTTTTCCCTTAAATACATTGCATGTCAACTATAATTTAAAAGTGTTGGATTTACTATGCATGAAGTTTATGTATTACCGAATTGAATTTTTAGATTCTATCCTCTTACATAAAAATGGCATAACTTGGGTTACAGGACATCTTTTGGAGTGAAATTAGTAGGGCTTGAAAGGCGTACGAGTCTTCTAATAGTGATCTTTGGAAATACCTTAAAATGTTACCTAGAGAAAAAGTTATATCTGTTTAGTAAACTGCATCGGGTCAGTATCAAAATTTCTATCCAGCGTAGTTGACAAAGATTTTCGTGCTTCAAACGTTATTGTCGAGTCCCCAAATTTTATAGTTTGTATATATTTGAATGTAAAGTCTCTGTTAAGATTTCATAATTTTTAGTCGACATTTGCTAGGTCAAACATATTTTTCTTTCCGCTTCTGCGTTATTGGAATTTGTTGATTTTCCTTAAGTTGTTTTCCAAAATCAAAATACACCTTAATCTTGTAAGTCTATATGGACAAATATCTCCCATTATTTTTATATATTTCAATCTCCAAAAATTTTCTTATTTATAATTTATTTTGGTTAACATCAAAAAGGTCAAACTAATATTGATTTTTCTTTTCATGTTTCGACCTCCAAGAATTTGGGGCATTACACACTGCCACTGCGTGCATACATGAAAAATTCTCCAATTGAAACTTTCTACATGTATACATATTATCATTCATGTCCATAATGTATCCAATATTACGTGCACATCTCACGGAGAAGCGAAACTTATCAAGTGGTTCTACACATACATGTGTCGCCACATCTAGAGTCTTGAAGAGTTAATTTTTCTAGTCGTAGTTAGCATACTTGTACAATTCTGTGATTCCTCACGTTCGTCATGAAATCATTGCTACAGCTTGTTACAAGTGTATTCAATGATTGCGAATATTGTTAACTCTCGATCCTTCTTGAAAAACACATTGAGCGACTCCACATTGTTCGATGTCATCATGTTGTATCAACGTCCTGAAAAATGTAATCTTGCCCAATGTTCGATTCCCTTCACTGTGAGATAATCCCATGAAGCTATTTTAACCATGAACCCATCAAACTCTTTAAAATTGTAAGCCTTTTCAACTCTCCAAAACAATGTAATAATGTCACTATCTCAATACCTAATGTTCAGTTTGCCCTATATATGGTACAAACAACAACCATGATGTGTCTGGGAGAAGTCTTCAGTAATACCATTTATTTACTGACTACCCCCGATCAGTTATAAATGCAAGGCTATCGATATCCCTAATTACTTTCCTCAATTTCGAGAAGAACCAACACACAGCTAGATCATTCTTTTCATCGACTATGTCGAATGAAAGAGGGTAAATTTGGATGTTAGCATCTAAACATTTGCAATAATCAACTTGCCTTCATATCTAACCTTAAGGGTTGTACCGTCGACCAGAATTAGGGGTTGTATCGCATTTCGAAATCCTCGAATGTATTGTCTGAGAGCCATGAAAAAACATTGGAAGCGATTCTCGCCCTCCACCTCAATAAAAAATACCAATCCAATATTAATTTTCCCCATGTAATAGCAATATCTGACCAATTTAGCATAATTCTCCTCGGCCGAACCCATTAAGTCCTCAAATGAGCATTCTTTGGCCTTCCAAACTTTTTGATAGTTCATAACCAGCTCGAACTCTCGATGGACGTTGTTAGTGACGTGTAAATGTTTGTAGATTTTTTGTGAGTCCTAAAACTTGTGCATTATTTGTCGACCAATGAACTATGCTTAGGCTTACCAGTGATCATTTCGACGAATATCTACTTCGCAAGTATGCTCCCATGCATACTTATGAATTACAATATAATGTTGCTGACAAAAGTGACATTAGACAAAAAGGCCAGATATAGGGATGGCAAAAATATCCATCAAATCTGATACCGCTGGATCCCATCCCGAATGAGGTGGGGATTACCCACTTTATCAAGTAATTAGGTCAAGTATGGGTGGGAAATTTCACCCTGAGATGGGTACGGGCAACGGGGGCCCCGCCTCGCCCTGTCCCATTTAGTTTTTTTTTTAAGAATTCAATAATTTAAATGGAAAAACTCCACAAAATTTCATTGATTCTAATAGAAGATGACAACTAAAATTATCTAAAGAATATGATAAACAATAAAAATTTTAGTTTATCATATATATTAGAATAATTTGACTTTTAAAAATAAATAAATTAATTAAAAAATTGAATAACTATATTATTGTCTCACTTGAATGAATGGGGGCAATAAAATGAATTATCAAAACTATAAAAAAAAAAATTAAACGGGTACGTAAATGGGACAACAACCCCATCTTGCATCGTCCCTCCTTAAACGGGTAATGGGTGGGAGAATTCTCAACGACAGCACATCCTAGGGCTTAAGGGAGAGTTTTTGTTGTGACACAACATCATGTTAATGAGTCAGCAGATGTGGTCGTGGTTACATTATTTAGTTTTTGTAGAAAGGCTCGTTCTTCAATTGATTTAGGTGCTACTCATTCATTTATATCATATGCATTTGCTATTTATGTAGACCATATGTCAGAACTCTTAGGTAGTGATTTAGTGGTAGCGATTCCTATAGGAGATTCACTTTTAGCTACCAGTGTATACAATAATTGCTTGATTAGAGTGAATGATCAAGAGTTGAAGGCAAATTTTGTTTCCAGTTGATCTGTCAACTATAAATCATGCTTTAGTTGATTTTTTGCAAAGAGGTAGTGATCAAAAGGCTGGAAGAGCCTGTAATTATTCTTAATGGTGAATGGAACATGTGTCATATCTATACATGATGCTAGGTGATTGCTTGGAAAAGGTTGTCACGTGTATTTGGTTCATGTAATTGACACCCTAATCACTAAATTGAAACCTGAAGAAATATTAGTGGTAAGAGATTTCCCAGATGTCTTTCTTGAAGATCTTTGAGGCCAACATCCAAATCAGGAAATTGAGTTTACCATTGATTTGGTCCCAGGGACTACCTTTATTTCGCAAGTACTTAATAGAATGGCTCCAGTAAAGCTGAAGGAATTGAAAGTTCAGTTGCAAGATTTAGTTGACAAGGGTTTCATTAGACCCAATGTATCTCCATGTGGAGCACCAATTTTATTTGTGAAGAAGAAAGATGGTACAATGCGATTGTGAATTGACTATAGACAGTTGAATAAAGTGGCCATTCATAACAAGTATCATGTGCCTCGTATTGATGATTTGTTCGACCAACTTCAAGGTGCTACAGAATTTTCTAAGCGTTATTTGCGATTAAGGTACTATCAACTCAAAATTAGGGATATTGATTTACAGAAAACTGCTTTTAGGTCGCAATATGGACCCTGCAAGTTTTTTGTAATACTATTTGGGTTGACTAATGCCCAGCAACATTTATGGATCTGATGAATATGATGCTTCACCCATATTTAGACAAATATGTGATTATTTTTATTGATGATTTATTGATTTATTCTCAATAGTGATGAGCATGTTGAGCATTTCAAGATTATTTTGCAGACTTTGCAAGATAAGCACTTGTATGCTAAGTTCAACAAATGTGAATTTTGGTTTGGTAAAATTGTGTTTCTGGGTTATGTTATCTCAGCAAAAGGAACTTATGAAAATCTTCTAAAAACTAAATCTATGACGAAAATGGAACACTCTAATAATGTTAAAGAAGTACGGAGTATTCTAGGGCTAGCAAGTTCTTATTGTTGATTCGTAGGAGATTTTTCCAAAATTCTCTTCCTTTGACTAGTTTGACTCGAAAGAACTCAAAATTTGTGTGAACTGAAGAATGTGAAAAGAACTTTCAAGAGTTGAAAAAAAAGTTTAAATTTTGCTCCTATACTTACTCTTCCATCTCCAGGTGAGGAGTTTATAATTTATAGTGATGCTTCACATGAAGGATTGGATTGTGTTCTAATGCAAAATGGAAAAGTTATAGTTATGCTTCAAGACAATTGAGGAAGTATGAGTTAAACTACCCAACAGATGATTTGGATTTAGCTATAGTGGTGTTGATGTTGAAGATTTGGAGCCATTACATTTATGGTTAGAAATGTCAAATATTTACTGATCTCAAATTCTTAAAGTATATTTTTTATCAGAAGTAATTGAATTTAAGACAAAGAAGATGGTTGGAGTTAATAAAGGATTATGATTGCAAGATTGATTACCATCCGGGAAAAGCCAATGTAATTGTAGATACTCTCAGTAGAAAGAATAGTTCTTTCCCTCCATCTAGTGCAGTATGTGCTTCTTTGTTTTGTGAGTTCAAAAAGTTGCGTGCTCAATTGTCAACTATTACTTGAAGGGTGGTATTAGCTCATTTTCTGATGAGGCCTACTTTGATTGATAAGGTCAGAGAAGCTCAATCTCAAGACTTGACACTAAGAACATTGAAAGTAGATGTTAGTGTTGGGTTGGAACAGATTATGTGATTAGAAATGATGGTGCGTTGACTATGAGAAATAGATTATGTGTTCTAGATATTCTAAAATTTAATAAAGAGATTTTAGAAGAGGCACGTAGTTCAGCTTATGCTATGCATCTAGGTAGTATTAAAATGTATCACACATTGAGAAATCATTACTGGTGGCTGGGTATGAAGAAAGTGATAGCAGATTTCATGTCCAAATGTCTTATCTACCAGCAAGTAAAGCCCATTTGTTAAAAATTGTATGACTTTTATAGCCATTGCCTACTCCAGAACAGAAATGGAAATACATTGGTGTGGACTTTTATAGTTGTTTATTAGAATAAAGACCAAAGGATTTTGTGGTTCAATCATGTTTCAATTTAAAAGATATTACCAAATTTTGGAATTTCTTAAAGTTACAATAGAGTAAGTAAGGTTTTACAATAATTATGTACAAATAGGAAATGTATACTTAATAACGAATTATCTACTCATTGAATTACAAGTTCACATATTTTTCTTTTCTTTTTAGATAGTAGCTAAGTTTAATAGCATTAGAGCCCATTGATCTATCGAGTTGAACCGCACATTATCATTAGTCGTATGACTCACTTTGTTAGTTTATATAGTTCATATATCTTTTGGGCATTTACAATTTTTTTCAAAAAAGTTAATTTATAATTCATGTATCTATATCATGAGCTCGCTGCATATTTGGTACCTTTAGTGCATTTGGGGACTTTTGTTTGTAGATAATAGTATAGGTCGATTTGCTAGTATTGTATTTCGAATAGTTTGTGTTTTAAGAGGCTAGTGCACCCTATTTTAAATTATATATATAGGTTTGAGAAAATTAATCGTTGTTCGGTGGTTTTTGTCCATATTACAAAGGAAACTCTGTCAAAATTTTAATAAAAATATATCATAGTTAAAGCAGGTCAAAGTTGTATTAATAGTAGGTCTGGCACTTGGCTAGTATCTACCATTGATGACCATCACATGTCGGGTCCATTAGGGTGATTTGGAACGTGTCATGTCACCAAGGTTTAGTCGGTGTAAATTTGTTAATTAATAGTTGATATAGATTGTAAATGGAGCCACTAATTTGATGTGTGTGTACATAAGGTGGCTATGGTGTAAGTATTTTGTATACATATCCAAGAAGAGAGAAACGGTAGTAGATTTAATGCAATTGTTGGAAAAATAATTAGTTGTAGTAACGTGCAGAACAATAAAATGCAGAAATATAAAGCTAATTGTCCGATCGAGTTTCGTGACAGCACGATATCCTAAAGTGAAATTGCTCGTCGATAACTGCTGCGACCTCAGTGGACAATCACTCCCAAGATACAACGATCATAAACCACATATACAGTAATCACGAATGATTTTCAAAACTCTCAAAAGTACTCCAGAATGTATGTAAAAACCCGAGTGTAAAAAATCCAGTATATGAAAAATAAGATTTATTTTCAAACATTTTTCTTTTTTTTTTTATGTGTATTTTTCCCAAATCGAGACATGAGTTTATATATGCAAACTGGAAGTAACTGTCTCCTTCATGATCAGAGAGTAATGCAAAATTTTAATGACTTTGTGAGTAGTGGATTGTTAAAAAAGGGTCAGAAAATACTAGCTATTTAACCCATTAAATAAAAAAAAAGTTATTTTAGTCAAGGAAACCCAAGAGCACAAGGCCCCAATCAAATACTTTTTAATAAGTGGAAATTACATGAAACCCTACTCTTAAACATCTTATTTCATAAATCATAGGCTAGTTTGGTATTTCAAAAATCAGATTTTTTAATTTATAATAATTATAAAATTATATTAATTAAATACATAACCCATCAAACCCTAATCCCTCTTTTCTCCCCATCGCTTCCCCTTATCACCTCTCCGTCTCTCACCATTAACAGCGCCACCAAGAGAGTTGAGCCGGCTGAAGAGAACGCACCTGCAAGCAGAGCTATTGTGCACAGTGGCTATCCCTCTCCCTATCTCTTCTCTCTCTCACCATAAACGAATCGCGCCACCGAGAGAGCTCCGTCGACAGAAGAGCACGTCGCCTGCAGCAGGCGTGTAACGCGATGTTGTGTAGCAGCGACGGTAATGGTACTGTGATGCGTGGTAGTAGTGGGAAATGAGAGGTGTGGTGGTAGTATGGTTGCGGTGGTTGGGTGAGTGGTGTGGTTGCGGTGATGTACCGTGATGGTTTCTTCTTGCCTATTTTCTATGAATGAGTGTTTTGGGGTGATGGTGGTTGAAAATGGTGAAGGTGGTAATGGCAGTGATTATGGAGACGGTGATGATGGCAGTAAGGTGATGGCGTTTTAGATCTGATTTGTTGATGTAAATCTGGTCACGATCTGCAGTAGATGCGTTCGATGCCGGCGTTTCTCCATGGGCGCTACAAATCTATTTTTTGTGCAGTAAGTGGTCGGTTTGATGTTGTGGTTGAGTGCGGTGACCGGTGGCTGGGTGTGCGGATGGTTGATCTTGTGGGTGCGTAGGTGTTGGAATGCTGGGTGTGCGGTGTTGTGTGATGGTTGATCTGGTGGGTGCGTAGGTAGCAGTGGTGTTGGAATGGTGGCTGACGGTAGGGGGTCGTGGCAGTGGTGATGATGAGATGGTTGTGGTTGCAGGTCGTGGTGGCGACGGCAGCAAGGTGGAGGTGTTGTTGGCGTTCAGAGAATTGATGATGATGTTGGTGGTGGTCGTGGTTGCAGGTCATGGTGGTCGTGGCAGTGGTGATGATGTTGGTGGTGCTGGCTACTGCAGCCAGCGATGTTGGCTGTGCTGATAATTATGATTGTGACCGTGACTCCCAATTGTGACTTGACATTGAATATGTGACCGTGACTCCCAATTAGTAAATGAATAGTAACAATAAAATTTTTAATTTCGTGACCGTTGAATAATCGGTGACCTATAAAATTTCTAGTTATAGCGATGTGGTGGGCTATTGTAAGAAGTGGTTAGGCGGTGGTCACATGTGTTGTGACCAATTAATAAGTTAAATGTGACCAATAATTGGTTAATTTGTAATAAATAAATAATACGCAACCTAAAAATTGTGTTTGTGACTTATAATTTATTGAGTTGTGACCGAAAAATTAATTTGTGACCTATAAAATTTTTGATTCGTGATCGCAAAATAATATGTGACCTATAAAATTTGTGTTTGTGACTTATAATTTATTGAGTTGTGACCGAAAAATTAATCTGTGACCTATAAAATTTGTGTTTGTGACTTATAATTTATTGAGTTGTGACCGAAAAATTAATCTGTGACCTACAAAATTTTTGATTCGTAATCGAAAAATAATATGTGACCTATAAAATTTGTGTTTGTGACTTATAATTTATTGAGTTATGACCGAAAAATTAATCTGTGGCCTATAAAATTTGTGTTTGTGACTTATAATTTATTGAGTTGTGACCGAAAAGTTAATCTGTGACCTATAAAATTTTTGATTCGTGATCGAAAAATAATATGTGACCTATAAAATTTTTAATTTGTGACCGAAAAATAAGTTGTGACCAATAATATGATAAGTCGTGACTAAAAATTAATCCGTGACTAATTATTTTTGAATTTGTGACCAATAAACAAACTGTGACTTACAAATTTTTTGAAATGTGATCGTAAAAAAATTTGTGACATAAATTTCTTGATTTGTGACCAAAAAATTATATGTAACTAATTATATTGTTAATTTGTGATCAAATTATATAGATCTGTGACCTAAATATATTTAATTAATAAAATAATTAATTAACTAATTAAATTATAAATAATTTTTAATAAGAATCTGATTTTAGAAATTTGAAACTTGTTTTCTTGTTTTTGAAATGTGCCATAATTAATTTCTTAGTTATGAAATTTTCCCTTTTAATAATTGCGTGTGGAGTGACCCAACCCCCCCCCCCCCCCCCCCAAAAATTTGGGGGGGGGGGCCCCCCCCCCCCCCCCCCCCGACTCCCCACACAAATGTCACATTTCTCACCACTTGAGCACTTCATCTAAATTGATTATTTCTTTCACGTTTTATATTTATGGTATAAATATTTAACCGCAAATGTTTGCTGAATTTCTTATGACTTCTATGATTATGGTGCTTGGAAACATGATTAAAGAAGACTACGTGACCCACTTCAGGTAAGCTTTCTCTTGTAATATCTTCTACTATATACTAAGACTAAGGCGTGTGGTTATAATTAATTTTACTATTTCTAAATGTCTAGCTCATTTCTCTACTCATTTTGTACCTTTGTCGTATTCTTTTTCGTATCTGAAAATCTCAATCAATTTCTTCTGGTTATTCCCTTTTCTTGTTCTCATTAAAGAAAGTAAAGAACACCATGCTTCTCACACTTCATTTTCTCTACAATCTCTTATTATTTACTTTTACACTTTTTACAGAATCCAATTGGTGTAACTGCTGAACATGTGTCTAAAGAAGTTTTGTCATCCATCTCAAGTACAATACTGCTCCTGTATTGTAATACATCTTCAATGAAGCTGATTTTTCAAGTATTTAGTACAAACATAACAAAAGTCTAAGAACACATTTTGAGTACCAAGTTAGTTAATCAACTTGTCTCCACAAAAGATACATTGCTGAATGTTGATCTTGCAAAACTATTTAGTTTTCAATTCATAAATTTCAATCAAAATTTCACTAATCACATTGTCTAATGTTACCAGTAATGGATACATGTGCAATTGAATCGAATGGAACCACTAAAGGGCATGGAGAAAAGTCGGAACAACTGAAGGTGCTAGGTCTCCATCCATCTACGAAAAAGTGATATTGTGAACCACATTGGAAACTGTACTTCACAACAAGTAACTTCTGGATGTGTACCTTCATACATGACATCAGAATTCATGGATATAATGAAAAACATTAAACAAGATTTCCTGAGTGACACTCAATGTGCGACAAGATAGTTTGGATGAAAAATCACTATTGAAAAAGGTCCTTTTTCCCTGCTTCCTCCTGCATGATCCTGACAAGTTCTAATGCAAAAGTTGATAAAGGAAATTACAGCAAAGGTGCTAATTAGAATATATGTCAGTTCTAACCTCACAAATGACTTGATGCACGAAGAGACTAGTAATGATATATTGGTTTCACAAGAAAATTATAGATCTGGTTTTGTTGTATGCCGATGGAACCTTCAATGTCAAGAATAGACTCTTTTGTAGAATTTGCGTTTCATCTTCTGTGCATTGCCTCTCTTCCCAATTTTAATGAGATGTCCTGAGCTAGAAAAATGTTCCTTTTACTTGTGCTTAGCATAGCAGCTGATAGGATTTAAGCTCTAGATATTTTGAACAAAACAAATATTATTGGGATTCTGACATATGGTTTAATGAAGGATCCTCATAGTATTTCTTTCAATAAAATTTATATTTTGTACTCAAGTTTGGTAATATATCAATTAGTACAACTTTTTTCTACATCTACACGTTTAGCTGTGCTTGTTGGAAGTCATTCAGAACTCTGCTATGTTGACAGGCTGCGAGAAGGCGCCCCTCCAATAGGGGGGCGCCATGTGGCTCCCTGTCCAAAAATCTGTCAAAAAAGCCTATTTGAGTGGCTTTTTCCATTCATTTTTTAAGTAAAAAGATATTTTTGTTGGGATAAAAAGTATCTTTAAAAATGTTGTTTGATATACTTTCAAAATATTGGTAATTGGATTTCAACTTCCTTCACTGTTTGATATACTTTCAAAATATTGGTAATTGGATTTCAACTTCCTTCACTCCTTCCACTTCCATTCATAAAGTTAATAGAAATGATACAATTAATGAAATCAATGACGGAGGAAAACAATTAACATGTTAAAAACTTGACTTTTTGAGACACGCTAGTCTGGATGTGGAAGGCTTATCTCTTTTCAAAATAATTCAATGGAGGGCCGTTAAAAATCCTGATGGGACAACATCTGTAGGTTGATTGTATGTTTTTATTAGCAATTTAAAACATAAGGATGCATGATCATGGAACTCCGATCAACTGTTCCTATATCGATGTTCTGTGAGTAAGACTCAATTAGAAGTGCAGTTTTGAAGGAAAGAATTTAGATTGTTTGCATCAATATCCATGTATTGCACCAATTTAGGTTGTAAAAATCGCGACTTAGGATTGGCAGTTTGGTCATACGATGTTCAAGAAAACATACCTAATGGAGAGATGAAAAGGTTAAGGAAATGATTGAATGGCTTTTGAGTCTTGTGTTTTGGGTTGAATATATATCAACTGTTTATTTACTCTTAGGTCACAGAAAAAATTAAAAAGAATAACTAATACTTAGAAATCCGTGTATATTGGATTTAGACCCAAGTCACAACTGTGAATTCCAGAAATTTGCACACTTGCTTCACAACAACTTGCTGATCCTTTTGGAAGGCAAATTATCATAATGTTACTATGAATTTTATTATTTCAATTCTCTCTTGTCCTGCCCTTGCTTCCACCTCCATTATTTCTCCTGCTCCATGAGTTGGGGCTTATTGTTTCTGAATTTGACCCTCATGTCATAAGTCTTACTATGGAAATTGATCAATGTAAAATATTTTCTGAATATTGGTTAATTTTTCATTCTTCCGTTTTATAGCATTGTTATATTGGAGACTTGTATGACAGTAATTGCAATGGAGCCTTCTCCTTCCAATAAACACTCCAAAATCAGAAAGAGTATTTATATTTTCTGTCTTTACAACTCACCAAGAATTCCTGGTTGGATTTTCTTGAAAATGCAGGTAGAGAAAATTCAATAATCCTTATGATGATCAAATTTGGAAAATGGATAGATACTTTTGCACAAGGAATCCGAAAGCATGGTAAATCTGTAACCTAGATTATCTTATAGCAGTTGTTATTTTGGTATGCTTGACTAGCTTCAGCGTCTGTATCGAGTGCTTCCAACATGGAGTCCTGGCTGGTGTCTTCCATGCGATTTCTGTAGAAAACTTGTTTTATGTGCATTACTATCCATAGTAAGCCATTATTCTTGAAACTGAGTTGCAAATTGTTCTATTCTCGATTGAAAGAAAAATCTGATCACAAAACA